TCTTAGACCATATGGTGGTGTGTTGGAAAATGTCCTAGGAAATGCATGAAGTTTTAGGGGCAAGCTAGAGCTCAGCATAAACATGCACATGCGCACATTTACATAAAGAAAATAAGGTGAAATATTCAATCTGCTCAAGTGGTTTGCTTCAGGGATGGTGGTGGGAGCATTCTTTAAAATGTCCCCAGATTAACCCAGCCGGGCGTGGCTCAGCGGTTGAGCATCCACCTGGGATCCAGGCGGTCAGGGTTCGATTCCCGGTCAGGGCACATGCCCGGGTTGCGGGCTGCAGCCAATCAATGACTCTCATGGTTGATGTTTCTCTCTCCCTCCCTCTCTCTCTCTGAAATCAATAAAGATATATATATATTTTAAAAATGTCTCCAAATTAGAAACAATCTCAGTGTCTAACTAGGGGGTTGGTTAAAACTGGTACAACTACACAATGGGCAACTACTACTGAAAGTTCGCAGCAAACAAGGGAAGGCACAAACGTTTTTGTGAGAAAGATGCAAGCCCAGAAGAGATTTTTGCAACCCATCTTTCAGGTCTCTCCCCCCTGTAGCTTCAAGACCAAACTCCCCCTCCCCCCCTCACCTCTGCCTGCTCACCAGTTACTGCTGCTTTACTTACTGCGAGCCCGCGCCCCACTTGATCACTGGGACTGATTTAAGTAGAAGCCACCCCCACGTAAGGGGGAACAAACTAAAGAGGAAGAAGTGGGGTCCTCGGTGTCAGAGGCGGGAGGACATCACGGAGCAGTGAGGGGTCCGTTACAACAGCCAGCAGCAGTTCTGGGGTTGGTGCCAGGCACGGCACTGAGCGCTTTCCACACATCGCCTAGTGCATCCTCACGTTTCCTGGGTAGGTACCAAATCAACAGCTGGTAAATGAGAAAAGACACCCAGGGATGCCACCCAGCAACCTGGAGAGCCAGGATTCAAGTTCGGGAAGCCAGGTCCTTCCTGACGCACAAGGCCACCGAGGTAGCGCATTTCTCTGAGGCAGAGCGGGGCGCGGCCACGGGCCTGCCCGGCCCTTTCAATACCAGCCTCCTACAAATGTGTCCACGCAGCCGGGAAGCGGGCACCGGGCAGGCCGCTCACGGCGTGCCTGGCAGATGTTAGAGGGGAAAAGGCCGCGCTGTCACACCCGGCAAGGCTTAAAAGCCGACTGGACGGCAGGGTGAGCGACCCTCTGACCATACTTTTCCCATTTTAACAATAAATCCGTATTGTGAATGAGGGTACCTTACCCCAAGGGAGACTCTCCTTGGCTACAGATGATAAAATAATGATTTTAGAAAATTTTTATTCATGCAAAATAGAAGCATGATTCAACCCCAATGATTTCTCTAAATTTTTATTAATTTTTTTTTTTTTTTTTTACAGCTCGATCCTCTTGTGAAAAGGAAAGAATTTGAAAGTGAACAAATCAATTACACTTTTTTTTAAACAGCAATTAATCCTCATTACAGAGAACAAACAAAAGATCTGTGGCACATTCTCTTTGGAAAGATCTTTTGCAAATTTTTCTTCTAAAAAAAGAAAAACTATAATTCTCACAGATCACGTCTCTTTCAAAGGACTATACAAGGCAGCTAAATTGTATTCACAAAAGCCCCAGGCTGCAGTTCCATTGCTGAAAGATAAAATGCATGGAGTCTCCTTTATCCGTGTTGCACAACTTCCCGTGGAGAGCATCGCTGCTTCCCTACCCGACATACAGTCACTGTGTGGACTACACAGCTGGCACGTTATTCCACAATAATCAAAGAAAAGATCATATTATTTTAGAGACAGACCAGTGATCTTCACTGACCAACTGGACAATTTATTTATTTTTAAAACAACTTTAATAATACCAAGATTTGACTTTACTCTAAAGTTACAAGAAAGCAAAAAATATAATATAATATAATATATAATGGCAATAAATAAAAAAAAAAGGCAACCCTGCTCAGGTTATCATCCAAAACGTAATCACATTCAGGAAAAAAAAAAAATTGAAACAAGATTTGGGACGCACGCATATAAACACACACACACGCACACCGACATGAACAGTGTATACTTGTTATCTGAGGGGGATGTGCAGTAATTTTAACAATACATGTTGACGGCCTGAACAGAAGGCGAAGTTAATACTGCCCGTGTTAAGCGTCGCTTAAACATCTACTTTTAAGCAAAGCAAGTTACCTTCCCAGGCCGGCCGCCGCCCGGTCCGCCCGGCGCAGCGGGGCCGCCTCACTGCCAGTGGTCTCATTCCCTTGCCCTTCCAGGCCGGGTGCCAGCCAGGCCCACGGAGAGCTGTGTGTCTCCTTCCTGCCCTTTGGGTGCAGAAACGCAGGCCCTTCTCTACCCATCACAGTACCTGTTGATCTCTGGCACACAGGGGGACAGAATATGGAGTGATCTCTCTCCAGGACCACAGGCAATTTACAGCCACCTTGAGAAAGGTGGTAGATGGTGCTTGTCAACTCATCATAAATAAAAACTAAAGAACGTGGCCAGCGGTCACAATCCATTCTCAGTGACTAAGAAACCAACACAACTAGATTGTGCATTTGAGATTTATAGGGTAGAAATACCGCTTCCGATGTTTGGAGGAAAATCCCCAACACCACGCTAACCTGTCACTCCACCTCCCACAAACAAAATGACAAAAGATTAAAAAAAAAAAAAAAAAGGCAAAGGAAAACCTACATCCATAAATTCTACACAGGACCAAGAACAAAGCGGCAGCCCACTGGAGGCGGGAAAGGAGCAGGTTCTGCCCTCGTCCTGGCCCCTCCGCACCACGTGCAGCTCACTTCCCGGCCAGCAAGGGCTGGTGTCTGGGTTTCGGAAAGAGGCGCGGATGTTCCCGCGGACTTCAATACTGCAGGCCAGCGGGGAGAGGGCCGGGGGGGTGGCAGAGCTTCTCAAAGGTTCTGTGTAGTGTCTGGGAAAGGAAACCTTAAGAAGGAAGTACAATCTGTGGTGGGCGTCGGGAATCAAGCCTCATTGGATTCATTCACCGTAAGATGCACAAATACACCTCAAACTTCATGAAGCAGAAGAAAAAAAGGTGTGAGACCCACGGAACATCTCGCAGAGCCACGGCAAAACAAACACAGCACTATTCCCAAGTCAGGTTTGGTCACCGAAAGGCACAATAGATACGTCCAATTCGAGCAGCCTCCTAGTCTGTGTGTGTGTATGTACACGCACACACACGCACACGCACACCTCCTTTCATGTATCAGAGCAGAGAGTGTCTTTTACGGCTAAAAATTACTGAACAAGAATCATAATAAAATAGTAAGCTCCTGATCTTACTAACATTAATATTTAAGGTTCCAATTAAGGCAAATTTTCAGTCAGGAGGAGGTGGTTTTTTAGCTTTTAAATATCCTGAGATCGGGAATTAAAGGATATAGAACAAGGGAGATAAATGTGGTCGCATTTGTCTGAGGGAAATAAACATTTTGGTCAAAACAGATCTATAAAATAGAGGTCCATTTGTTCAGAGCAATCAGATGCTTTCCCCCTTCAGTATGTGATGAATTAGATTACCGGACGTCCCTCTCCCGCTGCGGCTCCAGCCCCGTGGGCCGACCGCACCACGCTGGCACGTGGCCCGCACCTCCCCGCTCTGACCCCGCTGCGATCTGAATCTCAGGGAAGGGTTTCCCACCGTTTAGCAGGGCCCTTAGTAAAACATCAAGTTCAGTCGGCACCTCCAGACAGGGCAGGAACAGTCAACATTTTAAAAAGAAAACAGTGTTCGTCGGTTTCCTAAGAAACACACATGAACTGTAGAGCCAAAGGTGAGATTTCCCACTCAGCTTTCACTCAGGACGTTTTGTACGTCTCACTGCGAAGTGCGTACTATACTGTTATCACACATTCAAAGGCTTAATTTTAGACCCAGTCCTTTCAATTTATCTACCTCATTACAAATTTTGGCCTTTCGGAATTTAAGCATGTAGTAAAAAAGTGCAAATGTTTTACAAAGCCTTTTGATTTCTATATACAACTGTAACAGCCAAGAGATCTGATGAACGTGAAGGATTCATGGAGCCACTACCTTTTACACACACTGTTTAAAGAGTGGGCACCAGGGATTCTCTTTCAGGAACAGTGCACATTGCAGTAAGAATCAGAACAGTCCATGATCAAAACAGTGCAAACCGATCTCTGCAAAACTGTTAGTTTTTCAAGGGGCAAGTACAATTTTAATATAAAAGTCGGGGGGGAAAAATCACAAAGAATAAGGCCACTTATTCTCAAACAGCAATCACTTGTTTCAGCATTGCTCAGAACTCAAGCTGGAAATGCCCTCAGTCAAGGGAGCCCGTGACTTGCTGACAGGACACGCTCACTCTGGCAACAGTCTTCCCAGATCAGGACCCATCGCAGAGAAGGT